GTTTGTGTAAGAAAGCTACGGTGCCGGGATGGTGACACGTCCGCGAGGCTTGGCTGAGACTTGGGGTGTCGGGGGGTCGGGAGAGCCCCACTTTAACCGAGCAAACCCGCACTCTACCGGTCCCAAACACCTCAAATGCTCCGTCTTTTACCCTCATCTTGTCGTATTGCCTGGCCAACCGGCTTCCAGGATCTGGAGGGGACATAAATGACCACCGCCCTCGGTTGGAAATGCTCAACCCTCTTTCAATCATGCGTGGGGGTGTGCGGGCAGGGCGTAAAGATTGCTGCAATACGGCAACAGGAAAGCGCAACTCCCTCCACTGCCCCGGTAGATGGCTAGGGGAATGGGAGACGGAGAGGCTGATACAGGCTACAATCGATACTGCAATCGGTCGAGTCCGACTTGTAGTTTGTGTAAATTGAGCCCAGCAAACTGACAACAACGAGCACCGCCTCGGACGAACATGTCGAGGTCAGATTCACGAGTCGAACTCTCCAGCATCAACGAGTTGCGCGGTGGACTCGTGCATTCAGGCCGGGCGAGACGAGGAACAACGGTCGTCAGGGCCGTGGAGAAGTTGACGCTTGCGCAGCTCAACTCAGCATGTGAAGGCGATCTCGAGAGCCGATGAAAAAGTATGCATTTGTTGGGCATCTGACCGGACCTTCTGAAAACCACCAACTCTGGATCCGACGTGGAAGATTGCGACTGGAATGATGCTGGGCTAGAATTGGACTCGGCCACGACCGGTGCGGAAGTTAGGCGAGACGGACACCATTGGCCAGTCTGGAAGGTCAAACAAGCATCACCGACTCATCTACTGGGCAAAACAACATAGCAAGAAGAGTGTCCTGAGAGACAGGGCTCGACCGAATGAGGATGGAGGTTGGTCGCGGAGTGCTCGAATAAACGCACATTCAACGAATCTCTTCGGCACACATTTACAAATGACAATATACTTGTCCAACCCTTCAAGCAGGGTTAAAAATGTATACTTTCATTAAAATTCTTATTCTAAATATTTGTATCAGCAGACTCCCAATTAATGGCCTAAAAGCGTAGATATTTAGCTTCAAGTAAAAATAATGAAGGAACAATAGTGGATATTTTCCCACAATTAATTGTGTATGACTCATGATGATACGTAATCGCACCCTGCGGTATTTATCAAAATTGTTTCTTCTCTAACCAGGACTGCGTTTTCCATCTCTTTAATACACACAACAGTATTCGAGCCCGGGTAGTGCCGACACTTTACCACCTTTTATACAGTCACGGGTGCCAGTTTGTCATGGAGAAGATATGAGGTAAAAATGGAAGCCGATAAAACAAGCATACACTCAATAAAACTACTTTTTCGATATGAGAATATTTGGAAATAATCCCCAATTATCGATAGTTTCAAGCCATACTCGTGTCTAAACTGCATCGTCAAACGCGGGATTGAGATGAAAACGGAGAGTATCCCTTCCTTGAGCTCATCACACATCCAACTGGATTAGAAGACGAGCAATGCTAGCAATGTGAGCAATTGGTCAACGTTAGATCTTCTAATAAGC